CATAACTAATTGTTATGGCTGATACAGAGATTCCATTGGATTCTGACTATGAATAGTCGCAGGTTCATTCTCAGGAAGAATAGATTGGTTGTGGGTGTGCATCTCTTCCTGGTGGGGTGTGTATTTGGTTCCCTCTGGGCATCAGGATCACGGACGGGTGTCTCATCCTTACTTTATATTTGTATTCAGGGACTTTGTTCTTGCCATTTTATTCGTAGTTGGAGAAGTGCCTGGCATGCACTAGGAATACAAGAGGGGTTTGTCATGTGAGGAGAGACACCCCTGTGGAAGTCACCCGTGGAGCATGGGGTTCTGCAGAATTGGTATACGTTAGGTGAGAAGATGCTTGGGCTAGGAGACAAGGGCTGGTGGAATGGGGCTTGAGTCTGCCGTGAGGTAGATCGACTCAGAGGCCGGCATTGCCATTTGCCAGCCCTGTGGGCTGTCGGGGAAACGGCCCCCTTGTTTCCTCAGCTGCGAATCAGAGATCACGAGTTGTAGGCAGAGCAAATGAAGTGATGCCTGAGAATGGGCTGTGGACAATGCTGGAAGGACCGTGGTGGCTCAGTCAATATTGAGCACAAAAATACACAGAGGAGAAGGCAAGAATGCTCACAACACACAAAGGACTGAAGACCATACAGGAAATAGCATCAAAATTAACGACAGACTTTATGAGAGGAGCTAAAGGAAACTTCAGATAGAAGGCCAATCCTGCTATGGCTCTCTCCTCAAACCTCTGAGCTGGACTGTGTACAAAGAGCTTGGCTTCTTAACCTCGCAGATCTGCAGGCCTTGGAGACAGAGCAAACACGTGCAGGCGCATTGCCAGGGGAGACCTGTGAGGCAGAACTACGGCTTACAATGCATTTTGGGCAAGTCAATGATCTCTGATACAATCTTCTTTCCTGATATAATGAAATTAAGACTAGAAGCCCTTTAATTAAATGTGGGATTGTATCGAGGCAATTGGGAGCTCAGCCAAGGTTTCCTGGTAGGATGTTAGACATCAGACGGCAAAATTTTCTAGAAAGCAGTTTTTCTTTATTTTTAATTTTAGCAGCTTCTGCCTGTCAAGTGATAACACTGCATGTTTGCTGTGGTTTTTGTCACTTCTCTGCTTTTTTTTTTTTTTTTACAAAAAAACAGATTTTATTTAATTTTAAGAAATGTTTAAAAGAAGGTACTGTTGAAATCAATGCAAGTCAAAATGAAACACACTATTACTTCATTGCACTGATCAGAAATGAGACAATTTGTGATTTGAAATGAGAAGGAATGATATTGATAAAATAGAAAACCCAAGTGCCAGATGTCTAGGAAGTGAATCTGGACTTTTCCCTCCCATAAACACTCAGATTTCCTTCCCAGACAAGCCAGGCCATGAATATCATCATTTAAAAATTATTCTTATTATTTTCAGATTCATTTATTTCATCCTATATGTATGAGTGTTTTGTTTACATATATACCTGTGCCCCATCTGCATGCCTGGTGTCTCTGGAGACCAGAAGAGGAGTAGGATCCTCTGGAACTGGAGTTACAGATGGTTGGGAGCCATCATGTGGGTGCTGGGAATTGAACCCCCGGTCTTTGGGAAGAAGAGTCCTTGTTCTTAACCTCTGAGCCATCTCTCCAGCCCAGAAGATCATCATTTTAAGGCTACTTACACAGAACCTTAGATCACCTATGCTAGTTTAGACAAGTTAGCCATTTATTCTTACTTTGCATTTAAAATAGGCAAATGCATAAGAATCTGACACTTCCTAATTCCTGATAAAAGAGCTCTTATGCCGGGCAGTGGTGTCACATGCCTGTAATCCCAGCACTCAGGAGGCAGAGGCGGGCGGATCTTTGTGAGTTCGAGGCCAGCCTGGTCTATAGAGTGAGTTCCAGGACAGCCTAGGCTGTAACACAGAGAAACCCTGTCTTGAAAAACCAAAACCGAAAACAGGAACAAACAAACAAAAAAATCCCAGCACTTTTGCAAATGAACGCAAGGGAAACTCCTACAGAAGACCCACCTTTAGTTTCTAAGTCTAGCATTGATATCCTACTAAGTCAATGAGATCCCATCAGGGACAACCCCAATATGACCTAAAAAACTGCTGGGTTTGTTGGGTTATGAAAGTGTTTGACTCCCAAATCATGAGCATGACTATCAGGTGCACTGTGCTTTCACAGTTAGCGTCCACTTGAATGGGAAGCTTCTATTAGTCAGTGCATATTTTGACAACTGTCATTGAATCATTTCTAACTAGAAGCATCATTGAGAATCAGCAGTTCACCAGGAACACCTTGTGCAGGCAACAGTTTTCCTCTTTCAGGTCTCTTTTTCAGATTCTCCACTCCAGTTTTGCATTTGAAGTAACCATTCTTCAAGAGGAAATATAATAATCAAATAATAATGTCTATAAGGAACACTAAGGCCAATTGTATCCACTGTATTTTATATGTGTTCTCATGCGTCAGTCCTGGCCTCTAATTTCCATGAGATTCATGGGTAAGTTCTCAGGAAAGAAAAATGCCCCCTGCTTTCCCTCCACCATCTGAAAATCAAGCTTGATGTCGTAGTAGCTATAAACGAGCCCGTTCTCAAAAGGCTGGTCTTCATCCCCACGGAGAAGTGACTTTTCATGGTGCACAGCATGTTGCTGGCTTAGGAAATAAATTTATGCTGGTGAGAATGTGTACACATACAATCCGTGTTTCAAAGACAATGGAGCATACTAGGAAAAAGTAATATTTGACCCACATGCTGAGGCAGGAGGGATAATGAGAAATAAACACAATTGTCTGCATATAAAAGAGCTGCAGTTAGTAGCCTTAGAAAAGAATTTCTTTTTTCTATTTGTTGGCTATGGGTGGATTCTTTGCTAGGTTTGTTGAGTGTTCTTGCCCAACCTTAACTTTTACAGTTTTTCATGTCGCTTGCAATTGTAAAGCAGTCTGTGGTCATCATACCGGCCAGCATTGCACTCCTAGGCGCCATCTGCCAACCTATAATTTATACATGTTTTCACCATCAAAATGGATTCTTCCCCACTAAAGCTTTCATTCTCATTCACCGTGCATTAAGCTCTAGCCCCTTAATGTCCTTCAGTGTTTGCTGTGCTATGGACAGGTAGGGACCAATGAGGAAATGTGCTAAAGGCCAGGGTGCCTGAATATCATCCTCACTCCTGTTACTGGCCTTCTGTGGTTCTGTAAGTCACTTGTCTGTCTATTTGTCTGTCTATCCATTATCTTTCCAACTACTTATTTATGGAAGCTGTAGATTCTTCAGTCATAATGAGAAAATTCATGCTGTAGTGTTAGACTTGAATTTTATGATATAACTGTTGAGAGTAGGACTCTTTTACCCGAGTAACCAAATTATTATGAGACAGAGCTGAGGTTGTGGGGTGTGTGTGTGTGTGTGTGTGTGTGTGTGTGTGTGTGTTATCCATTTGAATGCTCCTTATTCTGCAAGTCCATTCCCATTTTATATTTTGAGGATAGGGAAGTACAGGAAAGTGCTACGGCTTCAATGTTTATGCTAAAGGGTCTGGTGCACAAAGACATCTATTTCCAGCTGCCTTTGGAATTTGGCAACCGTGTTTTATCTTGTATCATTGAGATCAGCACATTTCAGTGATCAGTGAATGTTGTTTAAAAAATGGAGGATGGAATCTTTTGAGTGTATGGGGCTCTTTGATGTAATAGCTACAGTCTGGTCATTTGGGGGATGGGCTTACTATAGAACCTGGGAAGCTTTCAGAGAAGTTTGGAAAAGTCAGATCAGAAGTGTACTTGGAAGAAGAGAAAGAGGGATTTCAAATTGGACTCTGAGCTATGTCTGAAAGAGTGGGCAATGCTGCAGTAGAGAGTACATTCATCTCAAGATGGAGAGGGCCATTGTGTCATCATGCTAAATTGGCAGGCTTGTCTGTCAATGCTAGTTTTGTTGATATGGAGTTAGCCTTACATTCAGAGAGGATATTATCATCCTTTTTCTGGAAATAATATGGTACCTACAAGAGATATTCCCATTTTGTTAATTTTTTCTTCCTATTTCTTTTCCTCCATTGAGAGAAAGTTAGCAGTTTCACTGCATTTCTGAAGCTTGTTTTTAAATAATAGTTTGCATAAACAACAATAAACTTCAAGTTAGAAGTATGAAATGGTTATTAAAGCAATACAAGAGTATAGAATAAAATGAAAAATAAAAGTATCCTAAAAATCCCATTACATGAACCCATGTCATTATTTAGGTTTATGTTAAACTAAGCATATAAGTTCCTGGGGTGGAAAAGTTGGCTGGGCCATGGATGTGACATTGCCTATCAGAGCTGACTATGAAAGAATATGAGGTTAGAGGATCTGAAATAATTGTGACGTATGCTCTAGACTGCATGGCAGATCCTTGTGTCACTGTATGTATTTAGGTAGACAGATTTTTTCCTAAGTGCTGTTATTGCTTAATGGCTCATGCCCACCATTCCATATGATTTAATAGTCTTCCAAAGCACCTCACATACCTAGAATTAGATATTCTATATGTCTGTTCATATAGTTTAAACCGTTCTCCACTGTTGAAGGCTGGGACTTCTACCTTTGAATATTAGAAAGTTATGTATGGTTCATGTACACAAATCTGCATTCACAAACCATGGTTATTTTCTTAAGACAAATTCCTGTAAGTGGCACTGGAGTGTCAAAGGATATGGATGTTTAAACACAGCGATACATGTTGTCCTTCCCAGGTTAGTGTTCCACAGAAGCTCCTATGAGAGTTTTCTGCATTTTCCCAGGAAATACAACTCTCCCTTCATAAATACTACTAAATTGATTTCATTGTTGACACCAACATGTACTTATGTACATGGTTGTCTGTACTATGGTTGCACTGTATATGGAATATATGCTGTATTACAAACTCACTAGCCTGTCATAAGGCATAAGCTTGCAAACATAGATTTCTTATGTGGCTTCTAAGTGTAACTGTCTCCTTTTCCCAGGTGCCTGCATGAACATCACTCACAGCCAGTGTCAGATTCTTCCCTACCACAGCACGCTGGCACCTATCTTGCCAATTGTCAAAAACATGGACATGGAGAAGTTCCTCAAGTTCTTCACGTACCTCCATCGCCTCAGTTGCTATCAACATATCCTGCTATTTGGCTGTAGCCTCGCCTTCCCTGAGTGCGTCATTGACGGTGATGACAGGTACTTTAGAACCAAATCATTCCATCATAAGAGCCAAGTTATTCTAGGGACAAGTGTCCAAGAGGAACAAATTGTCCTGTTATTATCTTTTATTTTTGTGGTTTTTAGGGGAGAAAGGACCCACATCTGCATAGTCATTTGCAAGTCTCTGAAATGGATGTATTTAAAAATACAGATTAATTTTGTTTATGGGAAGAGTTAAATTATCCATATATTAATTGATGCTGTTGGGAACACACTCAACTGCTGTCTTAGTGAGGGTCTGATAGAAGGAAAAAATGTACCCAATGAAATGTTTATTGGTGAGACTGTTTGTGGAGGTGTGGGAGGGGGAGAGAACAATTAGGTGAAGAGAAGCACCAAGATGATGAAAGGACATAGTTCTACTAGCAAAATCTTGAAGAAAGAAAGGGCTCGAAGCAATTGGAAACTCATAGATTTGGGTGGGGTGGGGGTTGTCGAGACTGACCCACCCCAAGCGCTATGACCCAAGGGCAGAGATACAGGACATGGAATAAATACCCCAACCCCCTTCTCCAATCATCCTCTCTGCCAGAGAATTTACTCACTAGCAGGGGCCAAAGGAATCCAGTGCAATGGATGAGTTCCAAAATCTCATTAAACATCATCAGCTAAGAAATCTGAAATCTTATTTGAATCAATTATGAATGGCATTCTGGATGGTTCTTCTCATCAACACGAGGACCCAGTGCTGGAGTGGGGGAAGGTGTGGAGGGACTATTCAATAAGACAGAAACAATTTTTAATAACAGTCAATCAGCCCAAAGAACATCATGGTTATGTGAAGCACTCAATGTGTATTTGGAGAACCTCGAAGTATGTGCTAAGTACCTATTTGCATACAACTTCAATTACTTCCTGGGTTGAAATGTTAGGAGCTTTTCAGAATAGTAACAGTAGAACATATCTCATTTTTCAAGTGCTACCACATTACGGTATTTATGTTAATTTAACTATGTGTTTTACACACTGCTTAAATTGTGTGTGAAACATGAGAATAATATGTTTCAGGCAAGTACCTGTTATTTTAATTGCAAGATGCTGCACCATCATCGATTTGAGATAGAGCAGTGAATGTTGAGCTGTAGAAATAAAGCACTGTGGACGCGTGCAGAATTCAGCGAAACTCGAATTATCCAGGGGTCAGGTTCAGAAGGTGCTGTCGTGATACACAGAAAGAGAAGTGGGATTTGATCTTTCTTGTGGGTTAAATTCTGGCATGCTTGTGTGGGCTGTGGATATGAGTCAGTAGCATAGTGCTGGCCTCATGCCCTGCACTATGGGAAAAAAAAGATGGTCACCAAGAGACACTTAATTTTCCCAGACTGTGGCAACATAGTTGGTGGTTGCATTGGTTTTCTAGGGTTGGTTTAACAAATCGCCACCTGCTGGGTGGCTTAAATAACAGAAGTGTCTTCTCCCAGAGTTCTGAAGGCTGAAAGTCCAAGAGTCTGCAGGGCTGTCTGGTTCCCAGGACTCTATGGGGAGAATTCATTTTTTCCCTTTGCTAGTTTTCTATTATTTCTGTTCCTTTGTCTTGGGCCCATGTTTCTCCTATTCCTGCCTTTGCCATCATGAGAATTCCCTGACTGTCTACAGTTATTCCTCTTCTGTGTCTTGTGAGAATGCTATCATTGAACTCAGGGGCTCATCCACAAAATCTAAGATAAGAGCTTCCCCTCAAGATCCTTAATTATCTTCACAAAGACCCTGTCTTCAAGTGAAGGGACATTCCTTGTTCTGCAGAGTAAGATGTAGACCTCTTTCTTTGAGGCAATGGCTGGGAAAGAAGGTTAAGGGAGCTGTGTGTCATGGCCTCTTTGTCCACAAAAGAGAAATAATAGTTATACTTATGTTACAAAATTCATGTGAGGATTTGATGACACATGGGGCTTGGGACACTGCCGGACTCTTAGAAAGAACTCAATAAATGTTAGCAGTGACTATGAAGTGGTGATTTGTGGAGAACAAGTAGAAATAATGAAGTGGAGACCACAAAAAGTATTTCAAATACATACCCTGCGTGTGAAGGTTCTCAGAAATAAAGAAGTATGTAAATAAATAAATGGCGTGCTCCTTTGCTTTAAATGAAATCACATAATGCCAGAGTGGTTATTATTTTTTTCTGGAGCTAGATTCTCATCTCATTTGTGTTTACTTTCCAAGAATTTCCCTTATATCTTTTTAGATTCACTCCTCTGTGGATTTATGTGTACTCACAAAAAGACAACAAAAGGGAGTGTATTCAGAGTCTTGGAAACCCTAGGTTCATTATGGTGATCCTCTTTATTCTAACTCAGTCTCTGCTTGAATAAACACTCTGAGTTGCCCACAGTTTCAGGGCACTTTAAGATAAATTTGCTTTTCCCTTGACCTGATTTATCCTTTGATAACTGCACTAATATGAAAGTTTTCCATTTTCTGTTATAATGAATAATAATTTACAGTTACTTTTTGAGTGTTCTTTGAGGACTTATCCTATTTTTGTTATTACATTTTGTCTTATAATTGTACTGTTAGACCATGCTTCCTGCTGTCATTTAGTGTGTACATGGGAACTGCAACCTAATTTAATAAGCAGAATAAGTTTAGCAAAATAAATGTCTTGTACAAAACCATTATAAGGTCAAACATATTTTTCTTGTGTATCATCTATTATATGCCACACTATTCAAATAAAAGAAAAGTGTTTGCTTTCTAGTCTAGAGAAAATAGTTACTTAATAACATTTACAATTTAATTTTAAAAGATTACAGTGGGATGTATAAACAGTATAGTTTTTAAACCGATTCTCTGAGACCACAGATACTATTTAACTACATTGTATGTTGGAAGAATGGACTTGAATTGTCTTTATTCTAGACTGTGATTGCCTTGACCAAATGTGTGTTGACATACTATTACAGTCTAGCTGAAAGGCAGGACGACATATGGATTCAGTGAAGCATATCTAAAAATGTAAAATTTTAACTGATACATTATTGGAATGGCTCTAAAGTTTGTAGGTTAGAAGGTACTGCTTAAAGATACCAAGTATTCAGGTGGTGTTGGCACATGCCTTTAATCCCAGCACTTGAGAAGCAGAGGCAGGCATATCTCTGTGAGTTTGAGGCCAGCCTGATCTACAGAGCAAGTTCCAGGACAGTCTCCAGAACAATACAGAGAAACTCTGTCTTGAAAAACCAAAAAGAATATGAAATCATCACCATTGCTGGGAAGGGCAGAACAACAGGTGACTTGGTGTCACTGTGAATGAGTGGCCAATAAGCACATCAAATGACTGAAGAAACCTCACGTGTCGGATAAGAGAGAGACAGGATCCTTGCTTAGTCTCCACCTGCACTAGGCATGGAGATGAAGAAGCGTGCAAGTGAAGGCTTGTCTTTGCCACTGTCTTCCATTAGAAATGAGATAATGGAAGGAGTCAGAGTATCCCTCACTCACTTTAGTCTGGAACTCTAACAACCAGCACTGTGGTTGTCTTGTCTTTATTTTCAATAATCATGGTTCCAGCAGGGAAAAGATGGCTCACTAAAGTTGCAGCACTGTATGGTGTCCAGTAAAGGAACCACTGACAAAGACAGGGTTTCCTAATACCAGCAAGGATTAGTGCAATGGTCTCAGGCCTGGAGCTGTTGACACCTAATTTTAAAAAGTAAAGGGGAACTTAGGGGAGAGCCATCCATGGAAGGAGCCATGGCCTGCCATAGTATGATGCATCCAATCTCTGCAACTTGGCGGAGAGGAACATAAGGTGATCACTAGCCAGCATGTCTGTCCTGCATTCTGCTCTCTCCTACTGGTGGCTCTCTTACTGGGGTGAGTAGGACAGAAGCCAGGAGTATGATCACTGCTGAAAGGTGACTAGGGAAGAGTTGGGGCAGAGGCATGTGACAACTGACTGTGACGAGGGAAATGAGGACTAGCCAACACACAGCTGCATGCCTCACACCCAGTGTTGCCCCACCAAATACTTGTTGAGGGAGGAAACATGACGGCATGTCAGTAGATGGTTTATTATTAGCTTAACATCTGATAGGAGTCTTCATAATTCAAAATCATCAAATGCAGCTATGGCACATTTTGTGGGCTGCTGTTTGTATTTGTCTCACGGGGTTTCTGCAGAAGAACACAATTTGGATGGAAGCAACATCAGTTACCACCTATGGGGAAGAAAAGCAAACATAATTCCCACTCAAGTGAAAGATACAGTCATGGACTTCTTGAGCCAGAATAAGAAATGATCTCAATATTAAGACGTCCGTCAGGAGATTGATTTTCTGACTTGTTTATCTCCTACCAATACAATGCAAACTTCCATGAGGCCAATGGTTCCTGGGTGTTTTATTTGCAGCTGTCTCCCTAGTTTACAAGTGGGGACACGCAGGTACCTGTTGATTAAGTGAGTGAAATGTTCAGAGAATGACTCAGGCACCATGAGGGATAAAGCTGTCATTTGCAAACACGGGAGGAGAACCACCAGCATGGTGCCCTCTCCCCAGTTGAGGGAGGTGGATAAGGGTGTAAACTTTCTCTGCCTCCCAGACTCCTTCTCCCTCAGGGCAACAAAGTCTATACAGGCTAGTCAGTATTTACATTTTCCCCCACGTAATAGGAAAGTGTCAGTAAAATGGATGAAACACTCATAGGAGGATTGTCTTGTTGATATGACAACTTTAGGGCTTTACTCTTAGGACAGAAAAGCTCAAAGAAATACCAACAGATAAAGACAGGTTGATTTAAGTGAGCAGGAATAACAAAAAGTCACAAAATGACTCCTGAAAGAATATCAAAGTCATGCCTTCCAACTGATGGGACACTTATTATCTTTAGTATTTAGCACACTTACCAAGACCCATGGGATAAGAGAGGAACAAATATCAAAAGCAACTTACAACTGTGACATTACTTACGGCTGTTTTGATTTTTGCATATAATAAAGTCACACCAATGATAAGGGTCTTCAAGTGAATGGAATT